CCTGCTCACAGCTTCCACCCATGACCCCCTAGAATCGAATTCCAGGCTCCTCCCTTTGACTCCAGGCCCTGGTCTGGCCCTGCCCACTCTCTCCTTGATCACTGAGGTCCACCCACTCGGGCACCTCCTGGGTCATCCTCTTTCCTTGCTTCTAGCACATGATGCCAGATCTCTGCCTGACGGTCCTTCCAGTCCTCCCTGTGTGTCTCCGTCACAGCCCCCAGGTGTCTCCTCTGGGGCAGATACCACCGTTCGCTAACTGTAGGATCATTCCTAGCTGGCTCCTGTGCTTGAGAGCAGGCACGGCACCTACCTTGCTGGCCTCTCCCCTGTGCTCGGCACACTGTCTGGCCCACAGCAAGTCCACCATAAGGATCAGAGGAATAAACTAACCCAGGACTATATCTCGAGACACAGTAGACTCTGCCCTAGAACCCACCCACAGAGTTCTAATCTGAACATCCAAAATTTGAAAGCAGAAAGGGGACCAGTAGGTCAAAAGAATAAGACACGTGCCAGCGTTCCCAGAGGCACATGGTGTCTGCAGGTTGGACACAATAAATAGTCTTTGCTTCCACAAAGAAATGGTCTCTTCTACATTTTGTCTTGAGACCCAGGGGCATTTGGGTCTAACTCATGTCTTCCTATTCAGTCCAGACTCCTGGCTTGGAGAAACAGTTTCCTCTCCTCTCATCATGACTAGAAACGTCACAGGTTCAAGCACAAAGGTAAGTGGTAACTGATACCAGCTTCAGTAGAGGGAGACAGTAAGAAGGGGTGAGGACTGTGGCTCACAGGGGACCATGACTAGGAAACAGGGACTGTGGATTTCCAGACTGTCCATTATTTTAAACAAACAAGAAACTCAGATTTTTTTTCATGAAAATTCTCCATTTAAGAACCCCTATGTGAAAAAAGAATTAAACAACAGCAACAAAAAAGAACCCCTACGTGAAGTGAACCAATCATATCGGAGTTCTGGATTCAGCCCCTGGGCCACCAGTTTGCAGCCGGGGGCCTCATCCATGGGTTAACTCTCCCCTCTCATCTCTGCTCACTCAGGCAGAGCAAGTGTGAGCAAGTGAAGTCCTTTACTTCCTTCCAGGCAGGCCATGAACCCCATCTGTGGGCCAACCCTGTCCTGCATCCCAGCACAGGAACCAAATGGAACTCTGAGTCTTGTCAGGAACTCCGCCCTGGGTGGGTATCAGGACTCAGCCATCCAGGAGGGCTCCCAAGAGGCAAACATCTCTTTCTCTCCCTGCCATCTTGAAGCAGCTTCTGGAGACCCTGCCTGAAAGTTCCCCCAAAAGAGGAAGTTCAAATCAGAAAGAGAGAGAAAGTAAAGCACAAAAAAGTTGGTTAGACAGAAAAACCCAAAGGCTCTAGAAAGACTGAAATGCTCCCCAGTCAACTGGTCAACAGGCAGCCCTTCAGTGGCTCCTCCATCCAGGGAGGCAGTGCAAAGTCCTCTTTCTGGTCCTCTCACTGGCTCCACCCTGCCCTCACTGCCCGCCCTTCTACCTGCTGCTCTTCTCCCCTCGTGATTGCCCTGCTTCATCCCACCCCAGGGCCTTTGCAAGTTCTGTCTCCTCTGCCGGGGACATTTTCCTCCTCTCTCTCAGCCCGGCCGACTCCTATTCATGCTTCAGAGCTCAGCCTAAACTGATGTCGCCTCAGGGAAGCCCTCCCTGACCACTCCCAGACACAGTGGGGGTCCCCTGCTACTCGGCCTCCTGATCTCTGTGCTCCCTCTTCCCTGCACATTCCTCAGGGGATTGGAGAGGCCATCCCCACCCAAGTCTCCCACACACTCTCTACCACATCACCCATGCTGCATTCTCCACGGCATTCATCACAGCGCAGAGGTTTGGTGTGTTACACGTTTACTGTCTGAGAGTGGGGCCATGAGCACAGGGGACCCTCATGTGGTTCACTCCCAGCACACAGCAGGGGTTCGAGGTGTTGAAGGACCCACCTCCCTAGGAACTCCAGGACACCCCCAGGACTAGAGCCTGGGACTCCAACCACGCCATTTAAAAGCCCAAAGTGGCCTGAGGACGTGGGCTGCTCAGGAGGCTCCAGGCACCCAGGCCTGATCCCAAACTAGGCTTCCCTTTTCCAGCTCATTTGCCCATCTCTGCAAACAGCTGCAGCACGGGGAACTGCTAATGAATTAAGCTTTAAGTAGATGCTGCAAGTGACTCCACCCGGGCAGTTTTTGCTTCTTTTGGTAAATAAATTTCAGCAAGAGCTCGAAGTGCCTTTATTGCCGCATGGAGCTATGGGGAGTTTGGCTCTTCATTACAGCCCTTACAAATGAGCATGAGCCAGCTCGCGTCTGAGTTAGAGAGAGCCCCGAGTGAGCAAATGAAATGAATGCATGCAGCTTCTCCTGGAGGCTGTCCCTAATCAGACAAAATGAGGCTGAGCCCCTGGGCACAATGACATCTTGCTGCTGAGAGTAAGGCAGAGAAAGAACAAGAAAGACACTCAGGTTACTTAAATCCTTAAGCAGGTACACAGCCTAAATGCCCATGCCTGGGGGTGTGGTTCAGAAATTACCGGACATCCACAGGACGCCGCGTATTTGGTGAGGGCCTCAGGTTTCACAGATATGAAGTTGACATAGCAACATCCTAGCCACTGGGTCACTGCCAGGATGCGATGGCACAGTCCATGAACAGAGTGCAGCAAGCTGCTGGCACATAGCATATGCTCAGAAAATAGGAGGGATTATTATGTGATGGTAGTCATGTATGGAGGGGAGAGCGGGACCGTAAAGAAGGCTGAGCGCCAAAGAACTGATGTTTTCAAACTGTGATGCTGGAGAAAAGCCTTGAGAGTCTCTTGGACAGCAAGGAGATCAAACCAGTCAATCCTAAAGGAAATCAACCCTGAATACTAATTGGAAGGACTGATGCTGAAGCTCCAATACCATGGCCACCTGATGCAAACAGTCAACTCACTGGAAAACACCCTGATGCCGGGAGAACTAAAGACAGAAAAGAGGGCAACAGAGGATGGGATGGTTGGATGGCATTACTGACTCAATGGACACGAGTTTGAGCAAACTCTGGGAGATGGTGAGGGACAGGGAGGCCTGAGGTGCTGCAGTCTATGGGGTCACAAAGAGTTGGACATGACTTGCCAATTGAACAACAACATTATGTAATGGCAGGACACTAGGAAGCTGAAGAATGATGAAGACCTACACTCTCCAACATGGAAGCCACCAGCCTCTTATGACTGTTGAAAGTGAAAGATGCTCAGTCGTTTCCGACTCTTTGCGACACCATGGATTATAGTCCATGGAATTCTCCAGGCCAGAGTACTAGAGTGGGTAGCCTCTTCCTTCACCAGGGGATCTTCCCAACCCAGGGATCGAATCCAGGTCTCCCGCATTTCAGGTGGATTCTTTACCAGCTGAGCCACAAGGGAAGCCCCTCACGACTACTAAATGCTTAAAATGTGGCTGGTCCACACCGAGGTGTGTTGTAAGCTTAATATTCTAAGCCTGGTTTTGAAAACTTTGCCCAAAGAAGAGAATGTAAAAATCTCATTGAATTCTTTTTACATTCATGACATGCTGAAAGGACATTTTGGATAGGTATGTTAAGTATACTGAAACTTGTACATCTTAATCTTATAGCACTGTATGTCAATTAGATCTCAATAAAACTGGAAAAAAATATATTGACAATTTCACCTGTTTCTTTCCCCTTTTTATATGACTCCTAGAATATTTTAAATGTTAAAAAAATTAAAATTATTGGCTCATATTTGGCTCAAATTATATTTCTAGTGGACAGTTCTTACATTCTGACATGGAAATATGTCCATACTATTTTTTAAATTGAGGTAGAATTCATATGCCATAAAATTTAACCTTTTAAAGTGTACAATTCTGTGGTTTGCACTGAATTCACAAAGTTATGCAACCATTAGCAGTAATTCCAGAATATTCTCATCACCCTGAAAGAAGCCTTGTGCCTTACCATTAAATCACTTTCTACTTGTCCATGCTATTTTGAATAACGAAAAGCAAGTTGCAGAAAAGTATTCTGGTATCAAGAGGGTTTTTTGTAAAAACTAATTATGTATAATTATTAGTATACATCCCCACCTACATTTGTAAATGCATTTTTAATATGCTTGGCATGATGTACACCAAACTGTGGGAGATGGTTATCTCTGGGAACCAGAACTGGGGTGAGAGAGAAAGAAGTTGTTTCCTCTTTATTTTAAATACTGTGTACAACTTCTGAGATTTTAAAAGAGAATGGGTTGACTTTCTGGCCCTAAATAACTCCGGGTGAACTTGGGTAAATAACTTTTTCACGTCACTGTCAACATACTGGCTTCAGCTTGAAGATAAAGAATCCAGCGTTAGATCTACTTTTTATTCTGTGCTTTTAAAACAGCAAGAACAGCCAGAGATGAGGAATTTTCCCTCCTAGCAACAGAAGCGAACCGAGGCCGGGTGCATCCTCACAGACGCAGCCTGTCTGCCTCCTGCGGGAAACTGGCGTCAGCTCAGAGCCGGGCAGGCCGAACGCGCGGGCAGAGGCGGGACCCGGGCTCGGCCTCCCCGAGGGCCCGGGTTTGCAAAGGGCATCAGCTCTGAGCGCGCCTCCCTCTGGCATCCTGGCGGATGCCGGTGATGGGGGGTCGGAGAGAGGGGGTGATCAGGTAAGGATGGGAGGCGAGTCTGGGGCCCCGAGAGCCGTGTTGGCTGGAGGACGGAGCGGGAGCGACCTGACGCGCATCACTGGGTGACCCTGGGAAGCCACCGTGCCGCCGGGAAGAGCCCCGGGGCCGCCCGTGCGTCCCCGGAGCCCCAGCGCCAGGTACGAGAGAAAGCTTCGGGGAAGCCGAGGGTCCGGGCCCAGCGCTCAGGGGTCCCCCACCCCCATTCGTCCACTCGCCCCTGGGGCGCGCGAGCCCTGGACCCCGCAACCCCGAGACCCGCCTCCTCCACTTCCAGCCGCGTCCCCTACCTCGGCCCCAGGCTCGGGGGTCAGGAAGACCGCGAGCTCGCGCGCCCCGCCGCGCACGGGCTCCGGCCGATCGGCGTCCAGAAGCAGCATCACGAGCACGGCAGGGTCCGGCCGGCGGAGGCTGCCCGGTAGCCCGACGCCGCGTCCCGGCCTCGGAGCCCCGCCCCCGTCCCGCAGCACGCCCCGCGGCAGGCCCGGCGGAGGCGGGGCCGGTGAGCGCCGAGCCGAGTGGGCAGCGCCGCCCAGTGGTGCGCCGCGCTCCCTGCGCCCGGCCCCCGCACCACCTGGTCTCAAAGCCGCCTTCAGATGGCGATCACCGAGGGATCCTTTAAAACGCCCCAAGTCCAGGCCACACACAATCTCTAGGGTTGGAACCTGGGCATCTGCATGGTTTGATGCTCGCCAGGTGAGTCTAACACACCGCTGAGTTTGAGAAGCGTGGCTTGCAGACTACCCCGTTGCATTGAAATCCGGTGGAGCAGCGGGTCCCAGCTCCCACAGCACTTTAGAGTGGCCCGGGGAGTTTGTTGAAGGAAGGAGGAGGGGACCTCAGAGGATGAGACGGCTGGAGGGCATCACCGATTCCATGGACACGAGTTTGAGCAAGCTCTGGGAGTTGGTGATGGACAGGGAAGCCTGGCGTGCTGCGGTCCAGGGGTCGCAGAGAGTCAGACACGACTGAGCGACTGAACTGAACTGGGGAGTTTCTAAAAGCCCGTAAGTCAGACCTCGCCCCAGGCCTATTCAGCCAGAATCTCTGGAGGTGGCGCTTGGGCATCAGTAGTTTGTAAAGCTCTCCGGGTGGTTCCAGCGTGCATTCAGGATAGAGAACAGCTAACTTAGAGGAGCCTTTCATTTAAAGATCACCCCTCCCCCATCACCCCGCCCACCAGGCCTCTCCTAGGACTGCAGCTTGTTTGCGCCTGGCTGACAGTCCTAACAGGGAAGCTGGATGTAGCGATCCTATTCTTCTCGGGGCAGATTTTAAAATAAACTCCACAGGGACTCCTTAAGCGCACTAAATTTGACCCCCACCCCTAAGAGGCTAGTCTAAACTCCTTAGAGTTTAGCTGAAGAGGGCAGGGTCCAAAGCAATGCTATCATTCTTCGGTCGCTCAGTCGTGTCCGACTCCAACCCCGTGGACTGCAGCACACCAGGCCTCCCTGTCCGTCACCAACTCCCGGAGTTTACTCAAACTCATGTCCAATGAGTCAGTGATGTCATCCAACCATCTCATCCGCTGTCCTCCCCTTCTCCGCCCGCCTTCAATCTTTCCCAGCATCAGGGTCTTTTCCAACGAGTCAGCTCTTCGCATCAGGTGGCCAAAGTATTGTAGTTTCAGCTTCAACATCAGCCCTTCCAATGAACACCCAGGACTGATCTCCTTTAGGATGGACTGGTTGGATCTCCTTGCAGTCCAAGGGACTCTCAAGAGTCTTCTCCAACACCACAGTTCAAAAGCATCAATTCTTCCGTGCTCACCTTTCTTTATGGTCCAACTCTCACATCCATACATGACTACTGGAAAAACCATAGCTTTGACTAGACGGACCTGCTAGTGAGTCAAGTTTTTTAAAAAATGTAACGAGGTATCTGGAGGTCTAGCAGTCTAATTTTTCCTATAATTATTTTTAAAGTGTTACATTGGTTTTTTAAAATCGGGCTCGGCTTAGGGCTAGAAATAAGTATACAGGACTCCCCTTATCCCCATCCTGTTAAATCTGAATTTGTATTTTATCCGACAAGCTTAGGTAGGGAGCATGAGCACATGCTTGGTGTGTCTTTTGGGTAATCAATCTTCCCCCTTCCACAGCTGTCCATTGCTAATTGCTCTACATCGCGGCCCAAATATCCAGGCTTTCGGGCCAGTGGAATATTCTGGAAAATTCTTGGCTAAGACTTGGGCCTCAGGTGCTAAGGAAGAGGATTTAGCAGAAACTCACTGAACCTGCACTTGGACATTCATTACTGTCCTGAAGCGTCTGATGCCCAGAGCTCTTCTGCATCACACAAGACAGCCAGGAGCCCAGCTCTGACCCTCACCCCTGCGGACGGACCCAGGCTCCCCTCGGAAAAACCCAGAAACGGCTTCAGATTAGCCAAACAGGCCTAAGCGCAGCAAACTTCCCCTGATGGAGGACTCTCAAAAACATAATGCTAAGAAAAAGAGAAGGAAGGGGGGTGGGGGGGGGGAAGCAAGTCGCAGAAGGCTCTGTAGGGCACGCTGCCATTAACATAAAGTTTTTAAAACACGCGAAACCGCACTATATATTGTTTATGGATACAGACATATGGAGTAAAAGTATAAAGCTGTGCACGGCGGTGCGGCGCCACATTCAGGAAACGGGTTACTTTGGGGTGGCGGAGAGGAAACTGGGGAGGGTACGGGAGGGGTTTCAATTATGTATTCGTAGTGTTCTATTTCTTCCGCTGATGCTTGTTACAGTATTTAAACTTTTAAGATGCCCAATATGACTCATTGGAGGGGAAAAAAAAATAGAAAAACCAAAACCCTAGAGTGTTAGCTCAAAACGCTGCTTACCCCGACCCGCTTTTCCTGGAGACGGGGTGTCGGGGGAAGAGATCTTCGCTCTGTACAAGCATCAAGGGGATTGCTACCCTGGGCCAAGTTGGCTAGCCAACAGTCATTTTGCTTCCCGTCTTTTTTTTTCCCCCCTCCTAAATAAATGATGCATTAGAAACATTTTGCTTAAAATGCAGCTGCCCGGAGCCCCACCCCAGCTTTCGGAGTCGGAGTCTTTTGGGAGAAGGGGCGCTGGGCGGGGGCCCTCTGGAAAGCTCTGCGGTGGCCTGTGATGCACGCAGGACACCAGGATAGCCCAGGGTGTGTCGGGGGGCCAAATGAATGATCTGAAACAAAGAAGACAAATACAAACAAGTCTGCCCGGCCCCCCGGAGGCGCTCGGGGCGACCCCGGAGCCGGCGGCGCGCCCGCGGCCTGGAATGCAGCCCGCCGGGCCGCACCCTGCCCGAACCAGTCTGAACCAGCTGCGGGGACAGGGGCGCGGCGGGCCCGCGAGCTCCCCCTGGCGCCCGAGCCGCGCTCCGAGCCGCCCCGGCCTCCTACCCGCCCGGCTCGCGGGGCCGGGCCCCTGGCTCCCGACCAGCCAGGACTGCGGGCGCCCTGGCCACCGGGCCCCGCGACCCCCGAGAGCGCGCCGCAGCCGCCCCCGGGCTCGGCCCCGAGGCCCCCCAGCCTCCCGCCCCCCACCCCATCTGGCTTCACCTCCAGCTGCAAAATGGTTGCCTGTCTGTGTCTTTTCAAGGTGACCTCTGTCCGCTCAGGCCTCAGGCACCCGAAGTTCTAGACGAGCATGGCTGCCAGACTCAGCTGCGCGTTGGAAACTCCTGGAGACTTCCGGAAAAATACTGATGCCCAGACCGCTCCCCAGTGACTGGGATTTAATCGGGCAGGGGACCCTGGTCTAGGTTTGGGAGGTTGGAAGGAGTCCCCCAGGTGATTCTATCTGTGCGGCTCCAACGCTGCTTATCTCTGTGGCCCGTTTCTTAAGTCCGCTAGCCTCACTGAGAATGTGAAAGCTTCCTGGGGGCCAGACTGTGTTTTAAACTCTAAACATAGATGCTTGCCTTGAATCTCCTCCGCACCCTGGGAGACAGGGCTGCTCTGCTGATACCTATTTTCGAGATGAAGAAACTGAGACCCGGAGAGGTTAAATCACTTGCCAGGGATTATAGTTAGATCCGAAGAATTTATTGCTTTCCAATTGTGCTGGAGAAGACTCTTGAGAGTCCCTTGGATAGCAAGCAGGTTAAACCAGTCAATCATAAAGAACATCAACCCTGAATATGCATTGGAAGGACTAAAGCTGAAGCTCCAATACTTTGTGCCCCTGTTGCAAAGAGGCGACTCCCTGGAAAAGACTCTGATTCGGGAAAGATTGAAGGCAAAAGGAGAAGGAGGCTGCCAAGGAGAGGATGAGATGGTTAGATAGCATCACTGACTCAGTGGACATGAATTTGAGCAACCTCTAGGAGATAATGAGGGACAGGGAAGCCTGGCATGCTGCAGTCCATGGGGTCACAAAGAGTTGGACACGATTTAGCGACTGAACAACACAACATATTGATGATTAGTAAATGGAAGAACCCAGGTCCTTACCTGCTACTCCCATCCTGCCTCCTACAGGATGACCCTGCTGTTGGTCCCGGTGCTGCTACCTCAGCCCAGCCTGGCCTGCTGGGAAGGTGGGCAGCTGCCCTGCCCCTGTGCCAGCCCCCCACCCCCCCCAGCCCCCTTTTCACTGCCCTCCCAAAGCACCAGCGGGCCATTGCTTCCTGCTCTCAGTTCCCCAAGTGAACTTAAGGTTCAGCGGTGCAGTTCAGACCCCCGCCCCCAGCCCTCCCTTGCCATTGTGTCTACTGCTTTTCTCTCTGAACCCTGAGATGCCAGTGGGAGCCCGCATAGCAGAGCTAGGACCCGCATAAGGCAAGAGAGACCCCTGGAGGCCAGACTGTTTAGGGGCCTCCTGGTCAGGAGCAGCCCCCAGGAGCAAGGGTCTCCTTTTGGGGTGTGTTTGTCCTGGTCATCCCTCCTGCCTCACCTGGGTGCTGGCCCTGCCGTGGAGCCTGACCCTATGGGCTGAATGTGTGTGTCCCCACTTCATACATTGGAACCCTAACCCCAAGGTGATGGTCTTGGGAGGTGGGGACTTGGGGAGGTGGTTAGATCATGAGGGTGGAGTCCTTCCCTGCTGTAGCATGCTGACAGAGGTGAACCAGGAAGACCAGGCTGGGGCATCTAGTCCACAGGGAGATCTGCACCGCACCGCCTCCACATGGTTGACGCCAAGATGCAGGAGCCCTGGAGGGATATGTATATGTATATATATACACACACATGTACATATGAGGAATGAAAGTGTTAGTTGCTCAGTTCTGTCTGACTTTTTGTGACCCCATGGACTGTATAGCCCACCAGGTTCCTTTGTCCATGGAATTCTCCAGGCAAGAATACTGGAATGCATAGCCATTCTCTTCTCCAGGGCATCTTCCTGGGGATCGAACCAGGGATTGAACCTGTGACTCCCACATTGCAGGTAGATTCTTC